TACTTCCAATTATGTGCTCAATTTTAGAATAAGTGTAATGTGAAGTTGAGAAGAATGTATATTCTGCTGATTTGGGGTGGAGAGTTCTGTAGATGTCTCTTAGATCCGCTTGGTCCACAGCTGCGTTCAAGTCCTGGATATCCTTGTTAATTTTCTGTCTCGTTGATCTGTCCAATATTGACAGTGGGGTGTTAAAGTCTCCCATTATTGTTGTGTGGGAGTCTAAGTCTCTTTGTAGGTCTATAAGAACTTGCTTTATGAATCTGGGTGCTCCTGTATTGGGTGCATATATGTTTAGGATAGTTAGCTCTTCTTGTTGAATTGATCCATTTACCATTATGTAATGACCTTCTTTGTCTCTTTTGATCTTTGATGGCTTAAAGTCTGTTTTATCAGAGACCAGGATTGCAACGCCCTGCATTTTTTTGCTTTCTATTTGCTTGGCAAATATTCCTCCATCCCTTTATTTTGAGCCTATGTGTGTCTTTGCACATGAGATGGGTCTCCTGAATACAGCACACCAATGAGTCTTGACTCTTTATCCAATTTGCCAGTCTGTGTCTTTTAACTGGGGCATTTAGCCCATTTACATTTAAGGTTCATACTTTTATGTGTGAATATGATGCTGTCATTATGATGCTAGCTGATTATTTTGCCTGTTAATTGATGCAATTTCTTCATAGCATAAATGGTCTTTATAATTTGGCATGTTTTTTCAGTGGCTGGTACCGGTTGTTCCTATCCATGTTTAGTGCTTGCTTCAGGAGCTCTTGTAAGGTTGGCCTAGTGGTGACAAAATCTCTCAGCATTTCCTTGTCTGTAAAGGATTTTATTTCTCCTTCACTGGGGAAGTTCTCTTGGATAATATCCTGAAGAGTGTTTTCTAACTTGGTTCCATTCTCCCGGTCACTTTCAGGTACACCAAGCAAACATAGACTTGGTCTTTTCACATAGTCCCATATTTCTTGGAGGCTTTTTTTGTTTCTTTTCACTCTTTTTTCTCTAATCTTGTCTTCTCACTTTATTCCATTAATTTGATCTTCAATCACAGATATCCTTTCTTCCGTTTGATCAAATTGGCTACTGAAGCTTGTGTATGCTTCACCAAGTTCTTGTACTGTGGTTTTCAGCTCTGTCAGGTCATTTAAGCTCTTTTCTGCACTGTTTATTCTAGTTAGCCATTCATCTAACCTTTTTTCAAGGTTTTTAGCTTCCTTGCAATGGGTTAAAACATGCTCCTTTAGCTTGGAGAAGTTCGTTATTGCCCACCTTCTGAAGCCTACTTCTGTCAACTCATCAAACTCATTCTCTGTCCAGTTTTCTTCCCTTGCTAGTGAGGAGCGTAATACTTTGGAAGAGAAGAGGCCTTCTGGTTTTTGGAATTTTCTAACAGGCCCCTCAGCTGCAGGTCTGTTGAAGTTTGCTGGAGGTCCACTCCAGACCCTGTTTGCCTAGGTATCACTAGTGGAGGCTGAAGGACAGCAAATATTGCTGCCTGATCCTTCTTCTGGAATCTTCATCCAAGAGGGGCACCTGCCTGTATAAGGTGTCTGTCGGCCCCTACTGGGAGGTTTCTCCCAGTCAGGCTACATGGGACTCAGGGACCCACTTGAGGAGGCAGTCTGTCCATTATTGGAGCTTGAACATCATGCTGGGACAATCACTTCTCCTTCAGAGCTGTTAGACAGGGATGTTTAAGTCTGGAGAAGCTGTCCGCTGCCTTTTGTTCAGATATGCCCTACCCCCAGAGGTGGAATCTAGAGAGGTATTAGGCCTTGCTGAGCTGTGGTGGGCTCCACCCAGTTCAAGCTTCCCTGGCACTTTATTTACACTGTGAGCATGGAATTGCCTACTCAAGCCTCAGCAATGGTGGATGCCCCTCCCCCCACCAAGCTACCACATCCCAGGTCAATCTCAGACTGCTGCACTAGCAGTAAACACGGCTCCATGAGTGTGGGAGCTGCCAAGCCAGGCACAGGAGGGGATCTCCTGGTCTGCCGGTTGCAAAGACAGTGGGAAAAGTGCAGTATTTGGGCAGGAGTGTGCCGCTCCTCCAGGTACAGTCACTCATGGCTTCCCATGGCTAGGAAAGGGAAATCCCCTGACCCCTTGTATTTCCTGGGTGAGGTGACACCCTGCCCTGCTTCAGTTCACCATGAGCTGCACCCACTGTCCAACCAGTCCCCATGAGATGAACCAGGTACCTCAGTTGGAAATGCAGAAATCACCCATCTTCTGCATCAATCTCACTGGGAGCTGTAGACCAGAGCTGTTCCTATTTTACCATCTTCCCTTTTGTCTTTTTTAACTGTTGTTGCTTTAAAGTCTGTTTTGTCCAATATAAGAATAGCTACTCCTGCTCACTTTTGGTTTCCATTTTCATGGATTATCTTTCTCCACTCCCTTACCTTAAGTTTATGTGAGTCTTTATGTGTTAGGTGAGTCTCTTGAAGACAGGAGATATGTGGTTGGTGGATTTTTATCCATTCGGCCATTCTGTATCTTTTAAGTGGAGCCTGTAGGTCATTTACATTCAGTGTCTGTAATGAGATTTGAGGTGCCATTCTATTCATGATGCTAGTTGTTGCCTGAATACTTTGTGCTTTTTTCATTGTGTTATTGTTTTATAGGTCCTGTGAGGTTTATGCCTTAAGGAGGTTCTATTTTGGTGTATTTTAAGGTTTTGTTTCAAGATTTAGAACTCCTTTTGGCATGTCTTGCAGAACTTGCCAGCGCTCTGCAAGCACTGAATTCCCTGAGCATTTGTTTGTCTGAAAAAGAGTTTATCTCTCCTTCATTACAAAGCTAGTTTTGTTAGATACAAAGTTCTTGGCTGTTAATTATACTGTTTAAGGAGGCTAAAGGTAGGACCCCAATCCCTTCTGGCTTGCAAGGTTTCTGCTGAGAAATCTGCATTAATCCAATAAGTTTTTCTATATAGGTTAACTGATGTTTTTGATTCACAGCTCTTAAGATTCTAGCCGGGCATGGTGGCTCATGCCTGTAATCCCAGCACTTTGGGAGGCCAAGGCGGGTGGATCACCTGAGGTTGGGAGTTCAAGACCAGCCTGACCAACATGGAGAAACCCCAACTGTACTAAAAATGCAAAAGTAGTGGGGCGTGGTGGTGCATGCCTGTAATCCCAGCTACTTGGAAGGCTGAGGCAGGAAGGAGAATCGCTTGAACCTGGGAGGTGGAGGTTACGATGACCCAAGATCATGCGATTCATTGCACTCTAGCCTGAGTGACAAGAGCAAAACACCGTATCAAAAAAAAAAAAAAAAATGTTATTTTGTCTGGACTTTAGATAACCTGATGACTATGTACCTGGGTGAAGATCTTTTTTACGATGAATTTCCTGGGTATTCTTTGAGCTTCTTGTATTTGGATGTCCAGATCTCTAGCAAGACCAGGGAAATTTTTCTCGATTATTCTCTTAAATAACTTTCCCAAACTGTTAGATTTCTCTTCTTCAGGAACACCAATTATTCTAATTTTTGTTTAACATAATCCCAAATTTCTTGAAGGCTTTGTTCATTTTTTGGTTCTTTTTTGTCTCTGTTGAATGGGGCTAATTCAAAAGCCTTGCCTTCAAGTTCTGAACTACTTTTTTCTACTTGTTCAATTCTATTGTTGAAATTTGCCAGTGTATTTTCCATTTCTCTAAGTGTGTCTTTCATTTCCAGAAGTTCTGATTGTCTTTTCCCTATGATATCTATTTCTCTGGAGACTTTTTCATTCATATCCTCTAATTTTGTGAATATCTTTAAATTGGTTTTTATCTTTCTCTGGTATCTTCTTGAGTAGCTTAATAATCAACTTTCTGAATTCTTTTTCTGGTAATTCAGAGATTTCTTCTTGGTTTGGATTCATTGCTGGAGAGCTAGTGTGATCTTTTAGGGGTGTTACAGAACCTTGTTTTGTCATACTACCAGAAATACTTTCCTGGTTCCTTCTCATTTGGGTAGACTCTTTCAGTGGAAAGATCTGGAATCCAAGGACTGTTGTTCAGATTCTTTTGTCCCACAGGGTAGCTCCTTGATGTGGTGCTCTACCTGCTTTCCTCTAAGATTAGGGCTTTCTGAGAGCCATACTGCAGTGATTGCTATTGCCCTTCTGGGCCTAACCACCGAGTAGAGCTACCAGGCTATGGGCTGACACTGGGGAGTGTCTGCAGAGAGTCCTGTGATGTGATCCATCTTCAGGTGTCTCAGCCATGGATACCAGCACCTATTCTGATGGAGGTGGCAAGGGAGTGAAATGAACTCTGTGGGAGTCCTTGTTCATAGTTTTGTTTAGTGCACTGGTTTTCTTGAATGCTGGTTATGCTAGCAATGAAGTTGTCACATGGACAGACTCAAGACCTCTGGTTAGCCAGGGTGATGTGGGCAATGGAATTAGCTGTTGTTTTTTCTCCTTCTTTGGAGCAGGGTTGTTCTGTTTTGAGTTGCTATAATAACTTGAGCTGCATGGCCTCCAGCCAGGAGGTAGACCTTTCAAGAGACCACCAGCTGCAGCAGTAGAAAGGCAACATAATCTTGCCCTACATCTTCCAAGATGAGTACTTGGGTTTCTCAGGTGATAGAGCTCCGAAGAGTTTGTGTCTTTTGTCCTCAAAGGTTGTCAGCTGTCTTGTGATGTTTTTCCCAAATAACTTCTTATCCGCTAACAATGAAAGTGAGTAAAATATTAAACTTCCCAGTAAAATATTAAACTTCCCAGATGAAACCGTTCTCAGCATGTCCCCGTAACATCAGCTACAGCACAGGAACAAACACACTTGTTTGCATATCACTGCACTTTAAGATTGCCATATTTGTTGAATTGACATTTACAGATCTGCATATGTTAATAAGCAAAGCATTTCAAAATTACTTTTAAACATAAACTGACATTGTTTAAAATATTTTAACCATTATTCCCATAATTCTTTAAGGTTTGACTGTTGTTGTATTTTTTCCTTTGTTAGAGAGCTCTCTTCTTCTACTCTCCCCAACAGGATCCAAAACGTGAAATTAGAAAGATAATGGAATTCCTTGGGAAGAACCTAAAAGAAGAGATTTTAGACAAAATTGTCTATAATACTTCATTTGATGTAATGAAAAAGAACCCCATGACCAACTACATAAATGAAATTAAAATGAATCATAATCTCTCTCCATTCTTGAGAAAAGGTGAGGTATAGTTGCTTTCTCTTTCTTCTGACAACAGAATAAACAATATCAATTTATCAATGTCTTCTCACGTTCAAGCTAGTTGAAACCACTGTTTACAGTGTTTCCTGAAGTGAGTTGTTCAAAGCTTTATTCTGAGAGCGTGTGCTTCACCATCAGAGAAGTGTGGGACACTACACACCTTGCCCTACACCCTTTGAAGCATATTATAGTTTCTGCAAGGAAACTGATTTAACTCTGCATAACTCAGAGCTTCAAAAATGTATGTGACCAAAAACTCTTTCTCCAGTAAAGCCTATTAATCTCCATGAAACAAGTGTTCCTCTCAATATACTCTGGGAGACAGTGGCAAATGTTGTTGGCCGTAGGAGTCAGAGGGTGGCGCTTCGAGTGTTACTCAGTCTGTGTCATCTCACAGAATGGCCAAGGTAGGACTATGAGTCATCATTGTCAGAGCCTAGCCAGACCAGGATTCAGTGTCCAGCCCATTGAGCACCCTCCAGTATCCAATGGTTGGCTCCTTAAATGAAGACAAATTTTGTTTCATTCTCTTTATTTTGGTAACTTTTTAAAAAATTATCTAGTACCTTTTTTTAAAAAAAGTAAGCAAAAATCCAAGGCTTATTGGAGAAGTATCCACTCTAATTTAATCAATTAGCCTAGTTTTCTTTTAAACCAACTGGTAAGTGATATAATGGTATTACTCATAGACAATTAAGCAAATTTACATGGCACACATGAAAATTATGTTATACAGCTCAAAGTGCCTAAATAGATTCAATACTATGGGGCAAATAGAAGAAAAATAGCTTGCTGTCAGCTGTCTGACAATTTTTGGCTGTTGAAGCCAAAAAAAAATTGAATACTCTATTGCATAAGTATAAAACACAGTTAGCCAATCCTACCATTCCTTCATATTCTATTACTTTAATTTAATGATATGTTTACAGCAATGAGAATTTAGATAGGAAAGGAGAATTCTCAGTTGTGTTCAACTGAGAATTTTGCCTGAACTAGAGGCACAGATGGAAGGAGCATATGATACTCTGAGAATGTGGTCATTCGGTGACCTCTGAAGAGAGGGTAAGAAAATTAGGTCTCACTAACTTGAATAGAATGTTAGATGTATTGAGGTTTAAGAAAGTGCTGGTACAGTAGAGAAGTGCAGATAATTAGGGAAGAACCTGTGATCTAGAGTTTAGGCTTTACTGAAACACAAAACTTGCTATTTACAAATACCTCACCTATGAAATGGAGTAATCATACCTATGACTTCTTGTCTCATTTCAATGTCAGCAGGACAATGTGTTAATATCTATATAAGCAATCTAAGTATTGAGAGGCATGAGATTATCTAAATTCAAAATGGTCAAAGTTTATGAAAATATCATTGAATATGCTCTGCATTACTCTTCACAGGAGTTGTGGGCGATTGGAAAAATCAGTTCACTGAAGCTCAGAACAAGCAATTTAATGAATACCATGAGAAAAATATGGCTGACACTTCACTGTCATTTTGCATGGGACTCTAATAAACATAGCGAGAGGATAAAACTTATTCTCTCCCTAGCCTCTGCAAGGTGAAAAAGAAATCTCTTTCCAAATACCACTAATGGTTTGTCTGACTCAGTGTAAGAGTTTTTAAACAAAGGTATGAACATTCTTTATCCTTGAATTTCTGATCTGCTTTTTGGATTACCCACAATCCGACTTATTATATAATTATTATGCTTTGTGTTTTTCTCCCTTCTCCACAGATTTTTAGGGTTTAGGTGAATTTCAACATCTCAACATGTAATATATATAAAACATATTTAATCATTTCTATTCCATGTATATATTCTCCTGTATTTTATTATAATTTTATTTGAATTAAAACATCTATTTCATTACTTGCAAAAGTTCTATGCAATATAATCTTACTTAGCAAAAATTCCAGCCCCATTCATTTGAAAACAGACATATTTTGAGCACCTTATTCATGCCAGGCAATGGGCAGCACCAAAAGATGATAAGAATAAGATCCTTACCCCTAAGAAAGGCACAGCCTAATAAAAGATCACAGCATGAGCACAGCTGTTATTACCAGGTAAGCACTACACTAGACTGTTGGTGCAGAGGGATCAAAGAAGAGAATAAACAAAGTTGTATGGCATGGAGTCCCAGGAAAGCAACAGTGAAAATTAAAATGTGCAGCCTTGGATATTTTTCAACAGTCCATGCTCTGGCCTCAAAGCACACATTCCACATTCAGCACAGTCAACATTCATGTCTCCTCTTCCTCAAGAGTTCAAGTTTGCCCTACTTAATAGCTTACTTTTAAAAACCTTAGGGACACCCATTTCAGAGGTCTCTCCTGAGACCCAGAAGTCCTTTAAGGCCCAATGAAGTAAGTCTCCACTGACAAAACCCAAAGGCAGCAAGAAGCAGAGCAATATTTAGGAAAAAGAGAACGTAGTTCTATCATCTCCCCCAACCCCTGTGTCAGAGGTGTGTAAACCAGGGCAACTGCATCTTGAATAAGGGCTGGGTAAAATGAGGCAGAGACCTGCTGAGGCATTCTGAGTCACAGGATGAGATAGGAGATTGGTACAAGATACAGGTCATAAAGTCCTTACTGATAAAACAGCTTGCAGTAAAGAAGCCAGCTGATACCCACTGAAAGCAAGATGGCCACGAGAGTGATCTCTGGTCGTCCTCACTACTACACTCCCACCAGCGCCATGACAGTTTACAAATGCCATGGCAACATCAGGAAGTTACCCTATTGGTCTAAAAAGGGGAGGCATGAATAATCCACCCATTGTTTAGCATGTAATCAAGAAATAACCATAAAAATGGGCAATCAGCAGTTGTTGGCCCTGCTCTATGGAGTAGCCATTCTTTATTCCTTTGCTTTCTTAATAAACTAGCTTTCACTTTATTCTATGGACTCGCCCTGAATTCTTTCTTGTGCAACATCCAAGAACCCTCTCTGGGGGTCTGGATCAATACCCCTTTCCTGTAACATCTTTCTGGCAACCATGGAAGCAACAATAGTGCCGAAACTGCTGACTCAATGACTTAACTTTTGGTAAGTGATGGGCTCCAGTAAAATCTTTCTGGCTAACCTTAAAGGGATGATACTGAGAAGACCCCTCCTATCCAAAGGAAATAGACTGCAGCACTGATTGACCAACTTTGGATAAGTGGTGGGGTAGCTAGGTAAAGGATGGGATTGGGTTAGAGGCCCAAGTTAGGGGAGTTAGAGTCTCTCCTAAGACAGAGTGGGTTAGAGACTCTTCTTAATAAAAGGCATGGACACTTGACTGACCTTGGGTTAGAGGCCCAATTTAGGGGTTTAGAGGTCCCTCTTGGTAAAGTCCCTTTCAGCTAAGAACAGGTTTGGCACTATGGGATGTTAACTGCTATTCTCTTCTAATTAATCTGCCCTGCACTGCTTGCTAATGGTTATAGGTGACAGGACTAGGCATGGGCAGAACCATTGGACATGGAGAGCTTTCTCCTCCCTAAAAGACAAAACTTGAGAGCTAATGGGTGTTGCAGGAAGTCAGGGACCCCAAATGGAGGGACCGGCTGAAGCCACAGCAGAACATAAATTGTGAAGATTTCATGGACATTAGTTCCCCAAATTAATACTTTTATAATTTATTATGCTTGTATTTACTGCAATCTCTGAACATAAATTGTGAAGATTTCATGGACACTTAAGCTGAGGAGGATGAATGTCACCTCAGGACCCTGTGATGATTGTGTTAACTGCACAAATTGTTTGTAGAGCATGTGTGCTTGAACAACATGAAATCTGGGCATCTTGCAAAAAGAACAGAATAACAGCAATGTTCAGGGAACAAGAGAGGTAACTTTGAACTGGCCGCCGGTGAGCTGGACGGAACAGAGCTATATTTCTCCTCTTTCAAAAGCAAATAGGAGAAATATCACTGAATTCTTTTTTTCAGCAAAGAACATCCCTGAGAAAGAGAATGTGCCCTGAGGGTAGGTCTATGAACAGCCCCCTCAAGGTGTGCCATCTTTTGTGGTCGAAGCCGAAGGGATGAAATAAGCCCCGGTCTCCTGTAGCGCTCCCAGGCTTATTAGGAAGAGGAAAATTCCCACCTAATAAATTTTGGTCAGACAGGTTGTCTGCTCTCAAACCCTGTTTCCTGATAAGATGTTATCAACAACAATGCGTGCCCGAAACTTCATTAGCAATTTTAATTTTGCCCCATCTGGTGGTCCTGTGATCTTCGTCCTGTGACCTCGCCCTGCCTCCATTTGTTTTGTGATATTTTATTACCTTGTGAAGTATGTGATCTCTGTAACCCACACCCTATTTATGCACTCCCTCCCCTTTTGAAAATCGCTAATAAAAACTTGCTGGTTTTACAGCTCAGGGAACATCATGGATCCCGCCAATATGTGATGTCTCCCCCGGACATCCAGCTTTAAATTTCTCTCTCTTAAGCTCTTTCCCTTTATTTCTCAAACCAGCCAAGACACCTAGGAAATAGAAAAGAACCCACGTTAAACATTGGGAGCGGGATCTCCCAATAAATGGGACTGCTGGAAAAGATCCCTTTGCTACCGTACTGACGAGCAACTGCCCGAACTTTTCAGTGTCAGCTGCAATGGATGGGTCTTTTCTCTGGCCGTCCTGAGTGCCTTGCCTTCCCCAGTCTGCCTCAGGCAATGCTTTCCTCTTACTCAGTATCTCTCTTTCTCTCTCTCTCTCTTTCTCTGTACAAACTGGTTGAATAAATGGAAAAAAAATCACAGGTTATTTCCTGTAATATTTTAATTGATGGGAAAAAGGACTTAAGAGGCTAGTCTTAAGCTGCAGTGAATTTGGTGTGCTTTTTGTGTCTTTCTGTGTTCTGTAATGGAGAGGAGTACCTTGTGATAGAATGTGGGCTTAGGACACCTGTAAGCCCACTTTTCAAGATGGCCCAGCAAACTGATCAGTTACAAACTTTGCCGCAGATCCCTGAAAACACTGTATGAGATTTCCCTCTTGTCTTGTATGTCCTTGGGAGCTTGCCCTTGTAACCATGTGGCCATGCTTTCTCTTTTTACAATGGTAGCCCAAGTTCAGGGTACAATTCTTGGCTTAGGAGATGATCCTTTATCTTTTGTCTGTGTATTTATACGTATTATCTGTGTGATGTTTATATATGAAAGAGTTTTAATTAATTGCTTTATATAATAATAAGATCTTAAATGAAATATTTTGTCAGAAAAGGAAAAAGTGTAATGCCTTTTGGTCCATGTGACTTAAGTAATCTTTGGGAAATAAAGACAGTTTTAAAGATTATTGGTAAAATATAAATATCTTCAAAAATGTAAACATTTGGTCTAAATTTTTCAGGTCAGATATTAAGTTTATTAAATGCTTTCAGGTCATAAACTGCTTATTTGACTTTTAAAACTTGTTCAATTTATTTGGGAGCATTGAAGTCTAGAAAAGACCTTGGAACATGTGGATTATCCATGGTCCCTAGCTATGCAAAGAAAGTTATAAAGAAAAGAAATTTATTATTGGGGGAACCCGCCCCCAATATTTCAACATAGGTTCTTTCTATTTTCCATAAGTGTCAGCCAGCTGAGAAAGAGAGACAGTACAAAGAAAGGAATTTTACAGCTGGGCCACCAGGGGTGACATCACATATTGGTAGGACTGTGATGCCCACCTGAGTCTCAGACCAGGATGTTTTTATTAAGGGTTTCAAAAGGGGAGGGGGTATAAGAACAGGGAATAGGTACAAAGATCACATGCTCCGAAGGGCAAAAAGCAGAACTACTAATAAGGGTGTAACAAAGATCACATGCTTCTGAGGTAACAGGACAAAGGGAAAAAGCAGAACCACTGATAAGGGTCTATGTTCAGCAGTGCACATATTGTCTTGATAAACATCTTAAACAACAGAAAACAGGGTTCGAGAGCAGAGAACTGGTCTGACCACAAATTTATCAGGGCAGAGATTTTCCCCTCCCTAGTAAGCCTGAGGGTACTGCAGGAGACCAGGGCGTATCTCAGTCCTTATCTCAACAGACATTCCCAGAGCGGCCATTTATAGACCTCCCCCCAGGAATGCATTCCTTTTCCAGGGTATTAATATTAATATTTCTTGCTAGGAAAGGAATTTAGTGATATCTCCCCTACTTGCACATCTGTTTATAGGCTCTCTGCAAGAAGAAAAATATGGCTTTTTTTGCCCAACCCCTCAGGAAGTCAGACCTTATGGTTGTCTTCCCTTGTTCCCTAAAAATCGCTGTTACTCTGTTCTTTTTCAAGGGGCACTGATTTCATATTGTTCAAACACACATATTTTACAATCAATTTGTATAGTTAACACAATTATCACAATGGTCCTGAAGTGACGTACATCCTCAGCTTCCAAAGATAACAGGATTAAGAGATTAAAGTAAAGACAGGCATAAGAAATTATAAAAGTATTATTTGGGAACTGTTAAATGTGCATGAAATCTTCACAATTTATGTTTCTCTGCTGCAGCTCCAGCCAGTCCCTCTGTTCAGAATCCCTGACTTCCTGCAACAATTTATATAAGAAAAGATCTTGTATGGTAAATTCTTGTCCTAAAGTAAAATGACTGGTTGTTTAAAAAGAGGGATGTTTACACAAGTCAGAAAGTCTAAATATATCTTACATGGTCTGTGTAAGTCATAAAAGAATTTATGAAAGGGAATTTATGCAAAAATGCCCAACTTAATGATTAGGCCTCCTAAATGCTTCAAAAATGCCACTATGACTCTTAACAGTACAACTTGCATGCTTTACAGCTAGGTAAGGGACACATGGAGTT